CTACATGAGATGTGTATACAATAATAATAATAATAATAATAATAATAATAATAATAGTAATTATAATAATTGGAAATAAAAATAAAATATCCATAATAATATGTAACAGCATAACATTTAATTCAATATGAAAATATCCAACTAACAAAGGAATTGTGTATTGTATTTCTAAAGCTCATTTTATTGAATCAAAAAATAACACCTTTTTCCCTTTAAATGCTTTTCATTCACTTTCCAGGGATATTCTTCCCTTTAAATGAGACTCATATAATATGAAAGAGATTCTTGGACATTAATTTTATTTGCCAGTGGTTTGGCAAGCAAGTAGTAATTGAAGTGTGTTTATAATTCATATTCATATTTCCCCCCTGAATTTGCAATCATAGTGAGGCAGGTCTAAACTTTTGTAGAATACCGACACTTCTCACCTAATGAAACACAGCTACATGGTTTTCTTTTTTTAATTTTTTAATTTGGATTACAAACAAGATTGAATTACATGACAATCCCAGTTCTCTTCTCCCTCCCTTCCTCCCCTACCACTCCTCTCCCAACTAAAATCCTACCTATCACATATCCTTTCTTCTATTCTACACCTGACTCAACCTTTCTGCTCCCTCATGACCTCTGCATCCTTCCTTTTCTTCCCTTCTCATTCTTGTAGCTCCCTCCTCCCTCTTCCCATGTTCTCAATTCAGCTACATGGTTTTCTTAGTAATTCTTTTTTGAGAATTCTTTGTGACTATTTATGATGTTTGGAGTCATGTAATATTTAACTGAATTATAGAGAAATAAATCCCTACTGTGGCTTGCATAGACACAGTTACATTTGGCATTGATAGGTCAAGCTAAATGACATTTTCAAAAATTTTGTGCTCAGACCTGAAACAATGACTAAATGCTTAAGAGCTTCTCTTCCAGAGCACCTGGGTTTAATTATAAGCACACATTTGGTATTTTCCAACCTTTTGTAATTGCAGTTCCATGAGATCTCCTGAAATTTTGGGTATCAGACATCCACATGGTGCACAGATATACATATAGGAAACACACACACACACACACACACACACACACACACACACACTCAAAGAGAGAGAAAGAATAAAAAACAGCAGTGCTCTCATAGCAAAAGGCAGCTAAAAATGCCTTCCCCAACATAATTCTGAATGCTAAAATATGGAAATTAGAGTAACAAATTCAAGTTTTATGATTTACCTGTCACTGATCAGCATGGCTCCTTGCAATTAACACCTTGATTCATAGTTTTGTGAACTGTTGTCTGCTTCAAGGTTCTCTTGGTGTTTGTTGAAGGTGGACAATACAGCCCCATCCTTCTCAGTAGGCTTGGTTTTTCTGATCTAGGCCAAAGATAGCTTCCAAATGCATGAACATTTGGTTTGCCAAAGCATTGAGAGAATGATGCAGGCAGACACCTTTTATTTAGTACCAGTCCTCTGAGAAAATAGTATATTTTGAGAACATTTGTTTTCTGGCTGAGGAAGTCAAAGTACTTCACAAATTCCTTTCATTGTCAGTGATGCAGAGAAGAAGAAATAATCCATTCCCTCAGTAGCTATATTTCCCCAAACTTAATATCTTTTGGCCCAAGCCTAACTAGACATAGAGGCACCTATGCTGACAATTTTGAACCCATACTAGGATAGTGGAAGCCTGTAATCACAGTTTGAGGTTTGCCACAAGATGGAGCTAAATTCTAAGTGGATGACTACTTTTGTGGTCTGTCAGAGAAAGCAGTGGACTAATTTTAATTTTGTTGTTAATGGTGATGTTACAAAATGAAGAAACAAGTAAAATAGTAACATGAAATATTTAAAAGCAACACTGGAAGAAATATTTCTTTATGTTAGTTGATTTCTCTTTTCTTCTAAATAATATTTGAGATTTTGCATTTACTATATCTCAAATCATTATAAAGATATTGTATAACTGCATGAAAACCAGAATATACTCATATTCTCTCTCTCTCTCTCTCTCTCTCTCTCTCTCTCTCTCT